GGCGTGTATTTCTCTTGCTGCTCGGAGACCGCTTAGGCCAGCTCCAACTATTACAACGTCCAAGTTGTCGATTTGGGTTGTCGCCATGTTGAGATGTCGTGCTTGGAAAATGATTCAGGGTGTACCTCTTGGAAAAGTGAAGGACGAATGAGTGAGTTATTCTTCCAGATGTCGAGCTGAGCTGGGCAATATATAGCAGAAAATGTATGTTTTCAATGTCACCATGTCTTCAAACACGATGGTTACCACATAAAATGCCAAGAGATATCGACAATCTAGCCGCGATGTGACCGAATCGAATCGCTGGCTCCCAATTCTCGGAGCTCAAAACACCATTGTGAGCCACAGTCCACGCGTCCTAGGCAAGGATGGCAAGGGCCTAAGCACCGCCATATATATGGATTCAGCCATGGCTCCAGCAATGACAGACACACTCACATCCTATGAGAACAGTTGCCGCCCCTCAGATCTCACGTCGTCCCGCTTCACCCACTTTCCACCCCGGGCAGCTTACTCTTAACTCTGGGGCTGAAGCTTCTCCGCATCTCATTCTTGTGCTGGATCTGAACAAGATGGATGGTATGGGCTGGGTCCATCGCCGGCCGCGGTCGCCGAGGCCTCCGGAGACTCCGGACTCCAGATCGGCCAGGTTCCCCACAAAGTTCCATATCAGGCATGCGCGAACGAAGACCGGATGTACGACATGTTGCTGCCGTAAGAAGAACTGCGACGAATCCCAGCCTCGCTGTACTGGTTGTATGAGAAACGGGCTGGGCTGCTGGCCCAAGGTTGATGAGCCTCCCAAACCCAATGTCGGGGCAGAGAGAGACGACAGCAGAGTCGGGGATATGCGTTCCAGACGGAAGAGTATCAGACCCCGTTGCACTTGAACGTAGTTTCCTTGCTTCCCATGGAGGCAGGGACAAGTCTGACCTCGCAATCGCATCTCCTCCTCCAACACTACTTAACAGACACGGCTACCATGGTCTTTGCCGGCGTGCTGTCTCCGAACCCATTCATAACATGCCTACTTCCGCGGGCGCTGACCAACCCGTTGCTCATGCATAGTATACTCGCTGTCAGTGGTTCTCATCTCGCCTACGGGCTTGCGGAAGAAGCACAGGGAGCAAATTCTCCGTCCAAGGACTTAAATATAGCCAAGGAAGCTTTGGTGAAGCGCATTAAGGCGTGGGCCATGGATCCGTTGCCAGATGTAGCCTCGAGCAGGAAACGGCAAGCCTCGAGGCTCGCATCTTTGACTGGGAGCAGGAGAGAAAAGCGGCAGAATGCCTACGCCAGACATTATACATTTATGCTGCGCTGTCGCTGCTTGGTTGTCGTCTCCTAGTGACGGTCCCAGACAGGAGGTTCAGCAAAGGATTGACAGCACAATCCGCCTGGCGGCATACCTGCGGAACTCGCCATGCTCAACAAATCTTCTATGGGCGATTTTCATTGCAGGCTCTTGCAAGGAGGATACAAAACAGCGTGAAGGACTCATTTATGGTCTCAAGAATAGCAGGTACCAAATGCAGCATCTGCGAGTTGTTCAACGAGGCTTGCAGTTGCTCTGGGCGGATGATGACACTCATGCCTATGGGCCGTTTGGTTTACGCTATGTCGCCCAGAAACATGGCCTTGGCCTGGTTATTGTGTAACTAAACAAGGGCTTCATTAAGCTGTACGTTTCTTTCAGCTTTGTGTAAAGCATTACTATGGATGACCAAGAATTGAGATAGACATCATATGCCACACTTACAGAGAGCTGACTGACATATTCTCTCATTGAGTTGCCTGCTAGCGAAATTCGTTGATGTCGCTGCAAGATCCTAACCCAGTCAATCATGCTATGGGGCCATGGCCATGTACTCGTCATGCTTTCATCAGAACACTACAGTGTAGGCGTTGCATCACTTGTTCTGTCAGAGTGTCAGTAATATCAAAAGACAACGCTGCGGGTTCCACCGTAACTGAAGACTTGAAACATTTCATCGAGCCCAGCGAAACCAACCACCTGGTTCATATGCGTGCATAAACATAGATAATTGTATACCCGCAAAGCCAAGGCATCGTGACTAGCTGTAGCTGGGGCCCCTTGTCCTCGAAGTACACACATCGGACTGTAGTCATATTATTCTTTTACACAGGACCTTGTTTGCTGATTCCACCTCTTCCAGCTGATGTTTGACGATACGTAGCTCTGGGCTGAGGTTGCAGTTCAACAATTGTGACCATCGCACTTGCCCTTTAACTACCCAGGTACCTAGGTTATGTAGCATCGTTGTTCAACGTGCCATCCTGGGGCCGAATGGCAACATTGAACCATTCACGCTTTAATGGCTCCACAACTGAAGCAATAAATAGGTCACTATCCCTTCGACAAAGCAGGCATCCCTAGCATTCTCTTTCAATAACGAGCAAGGTTGGTACGGTTGTTGGTTGACGAAACCTTGTCTTCGGGCGATAATGTTCTTGGGTTGTTGCCTCTAACTGCCATTCTCTGTCCAAACGGCCGGGTATCTTGTTGGTATTAGGACAAGGACCATAGACTCTGCCGGTTGCATGCAGCCTTCAGCTGGCGGGCCGAAGGCATGGAGGTTGCTGCATGCGCAGACGTACCATTACATGAAGGATTCGCGCAGGGTTTAGGGCTTGACATTTTCTAGCAATAGGACGGCCTTGTTGCAACCATGCCAAGCTTTCATGTCATGTAGACTGGCGGACTCGGACCAGGGCTCTTCAATGCACTGAGACGTGCCGGGGTCTTTTGTTTTCTTTATTTTGGGAATACTCCGTACTTTTTGTTAATATTGCTGGCATCATTTCTTGGGGACGTCTTGTGCGACACTGGCATCCGTCAGGAGTGTGGGACACTAATCCAGTCCTTCGGACAAAATTCGGCGGCGTTTGCTACTCGATAGGCAGAATGGCGAATGGCACGGTCTGGTCGTCACCTTGCAAGGCATGAGGATCTTCTGGGTACTATCGCTTGTGTAGGGATCTCGGAGTATACCGTTGCCTCATTCCAGACAACGGGGTTCCCAACATGTAACGCGGGGAAAGTTGAGGGGCCGAGGCCCAATGGCGACCGGTTGAAGCCTTCTAAGTTCTAGCCCTTGCTAGCCTTTGAAGGTAGCTCCCGAAGCCGAAACGAGACGCAAGCGCTCCTCCCGCCAGTTTTTATTCTGATGGTTAATCTGACCCAGCTCTGCGGCACCCAGTAGCCTCTAGTACTAGTACTACTAGGGGACGTTGGCCGAGCAGGGGTCCAGACGTCGCCTCGGACGGACAGCCCAGCTTGATGTCCACCCTTCCTCAGCACTGCCGGTCGATCATCACATGCGGCAACGGCAGCCGGACCAAACTAAAAAGCCATCGGCGTGGGGGAGAGACGGTTCGGAGTCGAAACGCGGCAGTGACTTTGTTGAATTGGTTTGGGTGAGTGCGTATGTGTCGCCAAATCAACCTAAAAGACGACCAAGAATCAGCGCAAGAGCATCACGGCCAGAGACCAGCGCTCGCTACTCCGTAGAAGAGATGCTCGGTCCCGCCTGCCTGAAGAAGTCAGGAGCTCTGGATATCAAATGTGACAACCATGCAAATACGAGACTTACGAAGCAAGGTCCAGGCACAAACCGACATGTATTATTCCTAGTCCAGGGCACTCCAATGGCTGCGCAGCAATGACACCACGGAGGGGTTCGACCTTGGTTTTTGAGATGACTGGCGGTAACATTGAAGTGCCTAAAATATTGTCACCGTGCTGCGTGCATGTAGATTCTTCAAGTACCATACCTACCTGGAACCCAAGGAATCAAATGGCAAGAGCGGACAGTACAGTCTTGGGCCTTGATGACAAAAAAAGGAAAGAGCACTTGACTGGCCAAAGCGTCATGATGCGCTCCTGCAGGACATTAAGTCCCCGACACAAAACTTTACTTGATCCAAACTTCCCGAAGGTAAGGTCACATCTCGACACCTCCCGTAACTACTTCATGCCGTTGTCGCAATGCCACCTGCAAGGGCACGGCACAGAATGCACGAACATGCAATCGCCTCCCGGAGCTACAAGCGATGCCCATTTTGGTTCTGCTTGCGCTGTGAGACACAAGGACCACAGGGCGGGCTGGTTGGACTCCTCGGAGCGGACCTGCATCACCACATTATTGCCCGTCGCCTTCATGAAACCCTCGGACCATCATCCTTGTTTGATCGAAGTTTAGGAAGCGGCGTGGCCTAGTCTGGCTACCTCAGGTACCTAAGTACTTAAGTAGGTACCTAGTACCTTGAGTTAGTACTTAAAGTAAGTAGTCATCGGCAAATTTGGCTACGGAAAACGTGCGCTGCGACCGCATGGACTGTACTCACACAGCTCAACAAGCCCTAACAAGACTCTGAGGACTCCGTCCACTCGGTCCCCAGCACCAATATCATCAGTCAATGATTCCGCCATCCTGCTAATAATAATAAATACTACCGAGTACCTGTCAGTGACCAAGTGGCTAGCCACTTCACTTGCTCCAGTGCCCCACAATTGGCGACGGCAGAAAAGATCACCACCCCTTGAAGCAACTAAGCCTGGCCACCTTGCCACTGGCGTAGCTCACCACGTACCGAGTACCCCGTTCCACGTATGTACTCCGTACATGATGGACTAAGGCGGCATTCTGATTGTTACTTTTGTGTAGCATTGGCTTTGGAACCATCAAACGCCTCTGGGAGTCTTCACTTCGGTAGCAAACACAAAACCACTTTTCCACACAGCGCCACAAATGCAGTTCCCTACAGCCGGGATTATGTGGAGGCCCAGACACTGATGTGTGGAGAAACGCCATAATCCATGATAATTGACATCGGCGGACTGATAATTAGTGGCCCATGCCAGCAAGCCTCCGACTTCTTCCTTTATCATGGAATGTGGCCCGCCTCTTTCTGGAAGCTCACGAATCTTCATCATGCTGTCATTTCATCCGAAGATAGAAATTGGATGAACCGCAACCATGGTGTACGGTGGCAAGCCTTCGCGGGGCTGCCAAATGTGCAGAATTCGCAGAATTAAGGTACATGATTTGCCCATGCCCATACTCAACTCTTCTGCTTGTACAGTCATGGAATAAACCAATTGGCGGGTTGTTGTCATTGCACTCGAAAAACTCGTTAACTGGTTCATAATACAGTGTGACGAAACAAAACCTACTTGCAAGCAGTGCGCAAAGGCCAGACGCGTATGTCCCGGGTATCGAGACGTCAACAAATCTCATCCGACTTCCGAAGGAGGTAGTGCAAGCTCACAAGTTCCCGACAAACCTCAGCAATCAGCAACACCATCACTCGCACCCAAGTCAGGAAGAAGCGACGGATTATCTATGGAAGGCACTGGCACGCCTTCTCCACGCTCGTCTAGCGACAAGTCGATTCAAGCTCCGCCACCGCTAGCTGTAGACGAGCTTGCGTCCTGTCACTTCATTTCCAACTATGTTTTGATTCCTAAACAAGGCTTAGCAACTACTCGTGGGTTCTTGGAGTTCGTACTCCCCTTGTTAAAAACACCGGAGCCATCGCAGCACTTTCTCTATGCGTTCAAAGCATGTTCTCTAGCGTCTCTCAACAACCGTGTTGGAACTGGAAATGATTTTGACCGGGCCGCCCTGGGCTGCTACACGAAGGCTTTGGCTTGTACCTTCACAGCTTTGAAGGACCCAGTCTTGACAAAACGAGACGACACTCTGGCTGCCATCTTGCTACTTGGACTTTTTGAGAATATCACTGCAAAGACACTTGGAATGCTAGCATGGAGCTCCCACATCGAAGGTGCGATTCAGCTTGTCAAGTCCAGAGGTCAGGAGCAACTTCGAAGCAAAATAGGCCTGGACCTATTCATTGCTGTCCGAACCCAGATGGTAAGTACTAGTATCGCCCGTCTTTGTTCCCACCACTCTCCTTCTTAAAGCAAGTCTAATGGGCCATGACTAGATTATTCATTCCCTTAGTACTGGCAAACCACCAACACTTGACGTAGACTGGTGGGTCACCGATCCGGGTAGTAACGAGTATAGCATGCAGCTCCAGCAACTCAGTAGTCGTGTGGGAGAGCTCAAGAGCGAGGTCAATGCCCTTCTCGCCACAGTGACTCGCTCGTCTGAAAATATGGAGTTAATGAAAGACACGATACAAAATTGCAAGTCCCTGGACAAGGAAATCGTCACCTGGCTTCGAGAACTGCCAGAGCAATATATGTGGAAAACAGTTGCATGGGAGCCGTACAATCCAAGGTGCGATTATTCAAAGGCCGAGGTCTTTCCCGGCCGTATCGACGCCTACGTCGATTTATGGGTTGTAAACTTCTGGAATGTTATGCGTTGTATGCGTATTGTACTGGCGTCACTCACGATACGCTGCACAGCCTGGATCAACTTCCCGGCTGATTACCGTACGACTTCAGAATACGCGACGACAGTAAGAACTTGCGTTGAGGCAATTTCGGATATTATTGCCTCGGTGCCTTACCAAATGGGGCTCTTCTCAAAGCGCAAGGACTTGCGGAGTCACGCGACGCATTCCGTGTTTGGTTGCGGAGAAGACACATCAGAGAAAGGCTTAGCCGGGTATTTCTTACTTTGGCCGTTGGCCTGTATTCAGGGCCAGGATTATCTCACAGACTCTCAGAGGACTTGGGTGAAGGGACGCTTGAAGTCTATTGGCAACACTCTTGGTGTAAGATATGGCAACCTGCTGTCTCAGGTACGTAAAGCTAGTTGTTGTATCAGGACTGTCTCTACGTTCGCACTGCTCGAGGCACATGACGTGTTGTAGCACTCGTATACTGACTCTCAATTAAAGTTAAACGTGCGGGTACCATCTATGCTGATTCTCAGGGACCGCCTGAAGAATGATCCTCACGAGATGCCAGCTGACATTGCAGCTATTATGGCCGGCACAGCAGCTAGCGGCGCCTCTCCTCCAAGCCCAGGCGCATCGACGGCTGGAGGAGCTATGCCACCGGGCTTACCTGGCATGTCAAACCCGGAGATATCAATACCTGGGATGTCCGAAATACCGTCAGCTCCTGGCGCTTCAGCGGATGCTTTGGCGAATCAGGAAGCCATCCGTAGGCAGATGCTTAAGCGTCAAACGGAAGAACTGGTAACAAAGGCTGTGGAGAAACCTGGGAAGCTTGATGACTGGACGGTAAAGACGTGGCTGCAATTATAGTGTACCGATATGTTGCGTAACGGTAATAGGAGCAACAAAGTGGTGCAAGTTTGCGGAGCAGATGAAATAGACTGCAATATGTTTCTGGACGATGCCAGCGTTAGGCATCGGGCTGCGAGAAGGAATCAATTGTCCTAGATGTGACAAGAATCGAGAAGATGGATAGAAATATCCTGGAGGGAGTGCGTCCCACTTCTACTGCTCGTGCAATAATGTGAGGGATGCGATGTCTCTCGCCAAGTTTCGGCCTGCGTTTCATACACCCGCAGTTATTGACATCCATGCTAGTGTTGAACCATGACTAGTATATCAAATATTCAAAAAAGACCATGGAGTTAACGAAGCCGGCCATAAAATAATAAACAAATGGATTAAATAGTGATGGCTGTTTATTTTATTTCCACAAAGCTGCCTCGGTAATGTGCTGTTCTTTAAGTCCTGTTGCGCTGGGTAATGCTCTAGGTTAGCCCGCAAGCAACCCAAAATTAAAGTGGAGACGCAACGCGATACTCCGTAGACAGTCGAACATCAAAAAAGCTCTGCGTCACCAGCACCCTGACTTTGCAAAATGATTTTACAAGCCATCCAAGACTTCCACTAAAACCAAGACGGGTCAAAAATAAATCGAAATCGACCAGCAGCGTAAGAACCGTCTCGACTTTCAGCATGAGCGACGTCAAAGACATCAGCCCCGACCTGGACAGGCTGGACCGGCAGCTTGACAACCTCGAAGATGCGCTCGCGCCGTTGCTCAACAACCTCAATGAGAAGGCGTCTCAATTACCGCTCCTCGACAAGGCCAAGCTATTTTCCCTGACAGCCTATTCAATCGAATCCCTTCTCTTCTGTGAGCATGCGTCACTCGCCCTCTGTTTGCGGGCGACGGGCTGTTACTGACTTGGCTGTTTAATAGCCTATCTGAGACTCCAGGGCGTAGACGCCCAGAACCACCCCGTATACGCTGAACTGAAGCGTGTGCAGCAGTATTTCGGCAAGATCAAAGCCGCCGAGGAGCCGGAGACGCAGAGAAGCCTGGTGGTGAACCAGGAAGCCGCGGCTCGGATCTTGAAGGCCGATTTGGTACGTGGATTCACGCCCCCCTTTTATCCATGAGAAATCTGCTGGGGGAGCATACGAGAGCTGACCTCTTTTGAAATGTAGGCCGACAACAAGTCTATCAGCAGCAAGCTGGCTGAAAAGATTGCTGAAGAGCGTGCCAAGGCGCTGCTCAAGTCGGTGGAGAGCAGGAAACGACCTGCTGATGAATCGGCTGCATCTGGGGGATCGGGAAGTGATGCGCAGGTGAACAAGAAGAGGAAGCAGAAGGGAAGGGGGAAGGGGAAGCAGAAATGATGGGGGTATCGTGGATGACACATCGTGGTGGTATGAGCCACGGAGATGTGGTGTTTGGCACTTCATGGCTTCTTTTTCCGGAAGCATTGCTGGCTGACCGGCTGGAAACTGGGTATTTTGTTGGACACGAATGACGCTTTTGTTCCCTTTCCATCCTTGGGTTTATTATGGTCATTCATAGTCACGGAGCATGGCGTCGGGATACACTGTTTTGATTAGATGGACCTGAACAAGAATAAATGCTTGAATTCCTCGCCAAACCATGATGCTGCAGCTGGAAAAACATGGTGGTTTACAAAACACCAGCAATATGAATATAAAACAAAAGCAACATTGAATCCTCCATGGGCTATAAACAGCCAAGGCACGATGACTACTTAAGTAGGTACCTGGACCCCTGCCACTCTCCCGAGGCCACCCGGCCCACGCCTGCAAACCCGCCCCCTCCCATTGGCCACGTCCTCCAGCCGCTCCAGAACATCGCCAACTCTTCTCCAAGCTTCCGCGTTGCCCATTTCTCCCATTTTTATATCCCCCTCATCCGCCACAACTCTCCTCCTCCTCCTCCTCCTCCACCGTTCCCAACCGCCAAAAACCTCATCACCGAAGAAGATGCCTCGCAACAGATCCGTCGGCCGCGCCCCCGCGCCTTCACGGGCACCCACCCGTCCCACGGTGCCTGCCTCCAACCCCATGCCTCAGCAGCAGCGTCCTGCCACCACCATGGCCGCTCCTCCCCAGCATGCTCCCCAGCAAATGGCTCCCGCGCCGGCCGCCTCACAAGGCCCCGGGCTGTTTGGCCAGATGGCCAGCACCGCCGCGTACGTATGACCACGCCCCGGGAAAAGAATCCGACCCAGAGCAAGCGTGGTGAGGGTTGCACCCAACAAGGACGATTCACTCTCCCGAATGCCCATGAGGAATTTAAAAAGACAATGGGAGGGGGGTAACATGCTAACTTTGTACGCAGTGGCGTCGCCATCGGCTCATCGGTCGGCCATGCCATCGGCGGCCTCTTCTCGGGCGGCTCGTCGGAGCCCGCGCCGCAGCCGGTGCAGGCCCAGGCCACCCAGCAGCAGCAGCAATGGGGCAACAACTGCCAGGCCGCTACGCAGCAGTTCACCAAGTGCATGGACGACAATGGCGGCAACATGCAAATTTGCAACTGGTACCTGGAGCAGCTGAAGGCTTGCCAGGCCGCTGCGAGCCAGTACTAGACAGCGTTGAAAAGGACAAAAGGAGAGGGCAAGGGAGCAGGGGGCAGAGAACACGGGGCAGTGTAACTATGGGACTTGAGGGAAACGGGTGATTTAAGCGCGTTCAATCCGTTGGGCCGCTATGGGAGTGTACGGGATTATACAGCATCGTCATTGAGTTGGGGGTTGTCTGACAGACTTACACCGGAATGGCTCGGTGGTTCTTGTATTATAGATGGAATTGCCGCTCTGGGAGAATCCAATCACCTCTCGGTTTGCTATCAAGCTCTTTTCTGCTGTGTTACATGGTGAATGTGTACATACTGACTGAGCACATGTGTTGCAGCATATGCTGCCGCCTTTGCGGGCTCAGGGACAATTACGAGACAGGGTCTGCTTTGCAGATATATCCAACGCATTTCGCCATTTCATGTTGCGGAATACGAAAGTTCAGCATTTTATTACTCGTGCAGAATATTGATATCTTCTGAGCTGATACACAGTATGCCTTGACTTTACTTTCAGACAGCTATTTCTCATCCTCGTCAGGTCTGGGTTCAAAGTTTAACTACGGTCGTGTTAGCCAGCACAGTTTCATCCCAGCAAAATTTCTAACTCCTGCTTACCGAATTCCCATTATACAACTGGTGGTCCCGTCGCTTATCATTGGGATTCTCAAACCCCTGAACACGACGGCTCTTGGCTTGTGTAGAGGCTGAATCTGACTGTTCGCCGACTGTCTCCTGGCTGTTGTTGCCGCCGCCTCTACCAAGACCGATCAAGCCGAGGACCCAGGTGAAAAAACCTAATATTGAGCCAATAATCCAAGAGAGGAGTCCTTGTGATGAGTTGTTATATGCAGAGGTATAGCTTCGGACATGGATCAAAATAAGTGTTGACGAAGGAGATAAGCCAATCTCTCCCAAAGACTTTCCCTCCTCTGTTTCGTCAATCGATTTATTGGGCAGCGGCGTAAGCAGTTGCGTGAATGTATAGGGCAGTTCACCGTCGGTTCTGTTCTCGTCGACCCACTTCCGAACCTCCTTCACAGGGTCCGAAGTCTTGAAACGGGATCGAATAGTCGAGCCATCAAACAGTCGGACTTGGATGGAGGTAAGACTGCTGTTCTTGGCTGCCGACGACATTGTCGACGGAGACGCGGTGCCCACTGGCAAGGAAGAGTCACTTTTTGAGTGGATCTCCTTCCTTTGCTGCTCTCGTTCGGCCGCCTGCTGGCGTCGTTCCTCTTTATCATCCTGGATACGCTTCAGGATTCGCTTCCGTTCCTCTGATTCTTGCTGTTTTTTCTTCCTGACCAAGGCCGCTTGTTTCTGCGCACTTTCGCTGGCTTCCGCGGCTGCCTTGGCGCTCCTCTTGGCCAACTCTTCCTTGGCCTTTTGTTCAGCGGCCTCTTTGGCGGCTTTTAGCCTCGCAGCTCGCTCTTCTAGGACGCGGCGTACGTTATCTGATCGCTCCACTGTTGGTGGGATTCCACTCGAGCTAGACAAAGTGGGGGACGAGGACGAAAGCGATTCGGAAGCTGGTTGCGCCGTGTGTGGTGGTGAAATATTGAACGAGTTTTGGATTCGGCGGAGGAAATCCTCTTTCGAAGTTCCGGCAGCAATGTACTCCTTGAGTTCGCCATTCTTCATGATGACGATGGTGGGTGTCTGAGGAAGAGGGAAGATTTGCGCCAGGTAGCCGAATTCTTCTGAACCGTGTGTCAACCTCAAGGCCACGGCCTGCTTGGCAATTACGTCTACCAACTTCAACGAAATGTCAACACTCGAATCAATTAAAACCCCCCCTTTTGGAAGAAAGGCATCATACTGAAGGATCCTGCAAGAACTCGTGCTCCCAAGTCTGGCTCTCGTCATTGTCATCTGGCCAGGTCAGCACGTAGCTTCGTCCATGCGTCAATGGGCGATTACCAGGCACGCTTACTCGTAACAAAGCAAAAGACGGATTTTTGCTGGCCAACAGCCGTGGAAATTCCCTCTTGGAGAGACCCTTGGTAAAACATGATGGCTAATTTCGACGGGACTCAGGCAGGCGTTCTCATGAAACACATGTGGCCATGTGGCAATGTGCGTGGGTGATGGATGCTCAACGCCACGTTTGGTGGACGAAGGAGGGCGTGAGGAAGTTCAGTTGCTGGTCAGCTCCGCAAATGGGCTATCACGAGACGAATTCAACATGCAGAAGAAATAAATAAGTACAAAAAAAAAGACGCGTTATCCCATGGCAATACGGACGACAAACGGGTACAGGGAAACAAGCTAATGCCAACGCTGCCGCGGAAAGCTCAACCAAACATTTCAACGTCAACAGTTGAGCTCGGGCATCTGCAGTTGGGGACACGACACTGGGTGGGCGATGAGTGGGGCAGGCGGTGAAGCTGGGATCGGGAGCCATGAGGAAGTCACCAACCCTAACCCTCCACTCCGACTCTCGGAGCTCGGCAGAAATTTCTTGGTGTGACGCATTGGAAGCCTCAAGCCACTATTTTCTCAGTGGCCTCGGACCGCTCCATTAAATCCAGGGACGATCTCTGAATCCACTAAATCTTGAGAGCTTCAATTCATCAACACCCTCAGCCGCCCAATCTCTTCACAGCCTTCGTCGGCCGTAGCCAGCAGTAATTTTTTGATATTGTGTACCAGTACGACCGCCATAATGTCGCTACCTGATCCTACCGAGGACCTCGACTGGGGAGGTTACCTTGGAGGCATTCATGAGATATTCCACAAGAATGCCGTGGCTCATCCTGACAGGCCTTGTGTGACAGAGACCAAGACGTCAAAGTGAGTGACGTCCCTTTGCATTGAGACAGGGCTATGTTGGTGCCAGTTACTGACAACGCATCCAGGGCGCCAACAAGAACATACACCTACCGCCAAATTGATGAGGCAAGCAACAACATCGCAAACTATTTGCGCGATGCTGGCATCCAGAATGGAGACGCAGTCATGATTTTTGCGCACCGCTCAGTTGAGTTGGTCTGTGCGTACATGGGAACCCTGGCTGCTGGTGCTATCGTCACCGTTCTTGATCCTCAATATCCTCCACAGAGACAACAAAGTATGATGTACCTCGGACGAGAACTGGAACGAGAATCAACTAACGTATCATACCAGTCTATCTTCAAGTCTCTCAGCCCAAGGCGCTGATCTCCATTCGCAAGGCTACGGAGGAGAGTGGGTAAGTGCAAACCCCCAACTCTTCCATGATCTGAGAACTCACAATATTGACATCTTGTTACATTACAGTCCTCTTGCTCCTCTCGTTCAGAAGTACATTGATGATGACCTTGCCATTAAGATCAAGATTCCAGACCTCCGCTTCACCGACGATAGCGCGTTGACTGGCGGCGACCAAGACAGCGGCGATATCTTCGCCAACGTTAAGGAGAGGGCCTCAACACCTCCTGATGTGCTCATTGGACCCGATTCCAACTGTACGCTGTCATTTACGAGCGGAACTCAAGGTTTGCCAAAGTGCGAGAAGTTCCTTTTTTTTTCTTTTTCGTCAAAAGTCGAGCTTTTACTAATGTTCAACAGGGGCGTGCTTGGCCGTCATTACAGCCTGGCAAAATATTTCCCATGGATGGCTGAGAAGTTCGGCCTCTCATCAGAGAGCGTGTACGCCTGTCTTTCTGGGATTGCCCATGACCCAATTCAGCGAGGTGCGAATTCGTTTGCCATGTAGTTCAAAAGCTATTACTAATTGTGGCCTCAGATATCATGACGCCCCTTTTCTTGGGCGCTCAGCTCCTGATACCCGCCAAGGAGGATATCCAGCACGAGAGGTTGAGTGAATGGATGAGAGAGTGGTCACCAACGACGACTCACCTTACGCCTGCTATGGGGCAGATTCTGGTCGGTGGCGCCACAGCTCAGTTTCCCAACCTGCGCCAGGTCTTCTTTGTTGGTGACGTCCTCACCACTCGCGACTGCAAGGCCCTTCGTAAGCTTGGTCCTGCCTGCACTATCATCAACATGTACGGAACCACTGAAACTTCTCGCGCCGTGTCCTACTTTGAGGTCCCTTCCGCCCAGGAAGACCCGACAGCCCTGGATTCACTCGGCGACTCTGTTCCCGCTGGCTGGGGCATGAAGAATGTCCAGGTGCTGGTCGTGGATCGGGAAGATCGCACCAAGATCTGTCCGATTGGTGTGGTTGGAGAGATCTATATCCGCGCCGCTGGTCTTGCCGAAGGATACCTTAATGATCCTGAGAAGAACAAGGAGAAGTTTATTGACAATTGGTTCGTCGACAACAACAAGTGGGTGGAAGCAGACAAGGCCAACGACAAGCGCGAACCGTGGCGCAAGTACTACAAGGGACCGCGAGACAGACTTTACGTCACAGGGGACCTCGGAGAATATCGATCGGACGGGGCTGTGCGTGTCTCAGGCCGTATCGACTCACAAGTCAAGGTAGCTAATGATTCATTTATTCACTCGTTTTTTCAAAGCTAACTCAACAGATCCGTGGATTCCGGGTTGAACTTAACGAGATTGATGCGAACCTCGGTGGCAGTCCTCTGATCCGAGACTGCAAGACCCTGGTTCGAAGAGATCGTAACGAGGAGCCGACGCTCGTCAGCTACATCGTGCCTGAAATTGCTGAATGGAAGCGCTGGCTTGAGACCCAGGGCCTCCAGGATATCGAAGAGGAGGGTGTGGAAATGGGACCCTGTATTGTCTATCTCAAGAAGAGGTTCCGCCGAATCCAAGCCGAGGTGCGAGACCACCTCAAGTCTCGCTTACCAGCACACTCGGTTCCCTCGATCTACATTGTGTTACAGAAGTTGCCTCTTAACCCGAACGGAAAGGTTGACTCTCCTAATTTACCTTTCCCCGATGCTTCTCTCATGATGGAGGATGCCTCAGAGGAGGATCTGAAGAGCTGGGAGAGCCTTTCTGACACTGAGAAGACTATTGCGACACAATGGTCAACTCTGATCCCGGGTCTAAATGCCCAGACCGTCAGGTATGCCTCTGCTGATAGTTCACTTCTCTACAGTTCAAACACTGACCCTCAATTCTTAGGCCGGACTCAAGCTTCTTCGACTGCGGTGGTCACAGTCTTCTTGCCCAGCAGCTCCTGCTTGACATTCGCAAGAACCTGGGCGTCGACATCACCATCGGTGTCCTCTATGCAAACCCTACTCTTCGCGGGCTGAGCACCCAAGTCGACCGTCTTCGCAGCGGCCAGGCTGTTGCAGTCGACCATTCTGACGATACTGTCTACTCTAACTCCCTCGATGAACTTACCAAGACCCTGGATGCAAAGTACCAAAGCGCGGATCCCGATGCTCTGAGCCCTTCCAACAGCACCACATTCTTCCTTACCGGTGCTACTGGCTTCCTCGGCGCATACCTAGCCAAGGACATACTAGAAAGGAAGAACACAAAGCTTATCGCTCATATCCGTGGAGCCAAGGACCTGAAGTTCGCCAAGGAGCGTCTTGTAAGGTCCCTTAAGGGCTACAGTCTCTGGCAAGACTCCTGGGCCAATAGGATCTCCTGCGTTATTGGTGATCTCTCTAAGCCTCATCTTGGCCTTGATGATGCTAGCTGGAAGCATGTCGCTAATACAGCTGATGTACTTATCCACAACGCTGCGTATGTCCACTGGATTGCTCGTTACGAGCAGATGATGCGTCCCAATGTTCTCTCTACTATCGACGCTATGAAGCTCTGCAACGAGGGCAAGCCTAAGCTCTTCACCTTTGTATCCTCGACTTCCACCCTCGACACAGACTACTATATTAACCTATCCAACGCTCAGACTGCTACCGGCCGCAGCGCTATTCTCGAGTCCGACGACATGATCGGTAGCCGTGCCGGTCTTGGCACCGGCTACGGTCAAACTAAGTGGGTGTCTGAGCAACTCGTCCGCGAGGCCGGCCGCCGTGGTCTCCGCGGCGCAGTCGTCCGACCAGGCTATATCCTTGGCAGCCGCAATGGCGGTGTCTCTAACACAGATGACTTTCTTATTCGCCTCTGCAAGGGCTGTGTCCAACTCGGTGCTCGTCCTCGCATTGTCAACTCGGTCAACGCCGTCCCTGTCGACCACGTCGCTCGCGTTGTTGTCGCTTCGGCGCTGAACCCCCTTCCCGGCGTTAACGTTGTGCACGTTACTGCCCACCCGCGTCTGCGGATGAACGAGTTCCTCTCTGTACTAAACTACTATGGTTACGAGGTGCCTGAGGTCGACTACGATGACTGGAAAATGCAGCTGGAGGAGTTTGTCTCAGCTGGACCCGTCGAGAAGGATCAGGAGCAAAGCGCGCTAATGCCGCTGTTCCACATGGCTACGTCAAACCTCCCGAGCACCACTCGTGCTCCTGAGCTGGATGATAGGAACGCCGTGGCTATTCTCAAGGCTGATGCAGAGCGCTGGACAGGCGTCGATGATAGTGCAGGAGAGGGCATCACTCGTGAGGATATCGGTAGGTATCTCCGGTACCTCGTTGAGATCAAGTTCATGGCCGCACCCACGGGTAGAGGTCGTGAGTTGCCCGCGATTGACACCTCGATCGCCGAGGCGCAGGCACAGTGGGGAGTCGGTGGTCGCGGGGGTGCTTCTTAAGAATGCTCTTTTGGCTAGAGATATGAGGCTATGTTTTGTTGATAAACATGTTTGCATGTTCAAAGGGGGTACGACTTGGAAAACAAATTCTGGGGGCGCTCACGGGTAGAACACGAGCATAGGACAGCATTTGTTATAAGGAGAAATTGAGTACACTCGGAGATGGCAACACCTGGGAAAGAGCAATATGATGGTTGCGATTTGACGGCAAGCGACTGTCCAGTCGCTCATGAGACCGGGTACATTGACAGCTGATTCTCGGATCAAGGGCCCTCAGATACCTTGCTCCCTGCTGCACCTCGAGATTCAAATAAAAAAAGCTCATCACAGGCTTGTGTTTATAATACCTCGGGATCATTGCAGATTAGCTACTTTAAAACCTCTGGTTGCATTTCACATTCGGACCATAGACAATGTCGGGAG